ATCTTACCTTTCTCGAGTTATCAAGTTCACAATGCATACCAATGACATCCATTAGAACTCCATTCTTACTCGAGCCACTGTGGTGTAGTTGGTGCCGCTGACCTACATTCTTTATGGGCTACCTGCACACCTATTTTCACCCGTTCAGTTCTTGTATGGACTGAGATCCGAGGGGGGATACTTTTGTCAAGTAGTGTATGTTAAAATGTAAGCCATTTATTTAAATAAATACATGTTTTAGGTGTAATCACACCTTCATCATGACAATCATTTAAAAACTGGACAAATACCGAACGGATTTTGTACAGTCGAGGCTGAATCAATCGTTGGTTCAATCGTTCTATGCAAATTTTCTTTTGGTTCAATTTCATTCGTTATCGTTGAAGCTATTGTGATTTTTTGTAAATTTTTCATCACAAATAAGTATATATAATATTGATTCGAGATCTTGTGCAGTTAATGTGACTGTCGCAATACCGATTTGCTTAAGAGTTGAAGCAAGTTCAGAACTAGGTATCAATGAGCTTATTTGTCGTCGAAATAGGTCATTCAGAAACTTTTCTATTGATTCTTCAAAACGTTTATCTAATAAATGTGCACATTGTTCATTCAAAATTCGAACAAATTCAGCTTCAAACTCTTGATCAGAATATCATGTACCACCTATAATAGACGAATCTGGTGTTAATTCATATAGCGTATAAATCTAGACTATCGTATTGTTTTTATTCAAAATAAACGACGACTATAAGTTTTCGATGATTCTTAACTGTAGAAAGAAATTCTTCTTTTACAATCCTAGGACATTCGTAATTCGAACTGTGAGTAAAAAAAAAATTTTTGCTGCTTTCTGCTATGATTGGAGAGAGTTCGTCGATTTACCCATAGAAATGTCACTTTTGACATAACCAGACAACACTTTTGTAGTGAAATTTAAGAAAATTAGGTTAAAAAACATCAGAAAAAAGATATACGCTAAAAGTATAAAATCTTGAGTCTCAATATTTATCCAGATATTTCTCTTAGTTTTATTCGTCATATAATTGGAAAAAAAATAATACATGCTTTTCCGAATAAATTTTGTTTGATTGTTGAGAAAATCGATTTTTTCAATACGAAAGCACAAAATAGCATAAATACAAGATTTCATTGAACGGTTTTGAGCGTTAGAACTTAAAGCAAAAGAAATATTTGTATCAATATTGAGACTATAGAGACTTGATACTTTTTTTCGCGTAGATAAATTTTTCTGATTATTTTTGAACCTAATTTTTGTTAAATTCTATTGAATATGTCATAAACAAGATTTTTATAGGTAACTCGACGACTTATATTCAACCATGGCAATACAAAAAATTTGCTCATACTGTGCGCACCTGAAATATATCCTAGTCTGTAACTAAAGTCTTATAGTCTTCATTTATTAAAAAAAAGGAATTTTCTTTTTTGTTTTACTTTTCTCTTATTGGCATGTACGGATTTGACAGGTTTAAAGAATTTTTTAGCTTCTAATGATTCAAGTGTTTTATTAAGTATTGTTGGAGATAATTGTATTCTAAATCTGATATCACGTATTCAAATAGCTAAATTTTCACTTTCTTTAACAACTTGATAAACTATTCTTTCCATTTGATCTGTTATTCCATTAGCAATTAGTATTGATGAATTTGATTTATTCATTGGATCTCGTATAAGATAAATAAATTTATTTGGTTCATTTGAAGATTTTAGGAAATCAATTTTCTGTAATGATGATAAATGATTTAAAGCATTAACACGTTGTTCTAATATGACATTAGGAAATCAATTTTCAACAATTTCATTACTAACACCATTAGAATATTGAAAACATAGTTGAAGAATTTCAGATTCTAAATTAATTCGATCAAAAGTCGATGTCAAAGATACGATCGGTTCAGAGTGTGGGTGTGGGTGTGGGTAGAGTTTAGGTATAGATGTTGATATGTGGGTGTGGGTGTGGGTAGAGTGTAGGTATGGGTGTTGATGTCTTCTACACTCAGATACTCACACCCACCAACATCTACACCCACTCACACCCACATCTACCCCCATCCCACGTCTACACCCACACCTACACCCACACCATCACCCCACACCCCACACCCACACACACTCACAACCACACCTACACTCACATCCACATACACTACACCCTCACTCACACCTACACCCACACCATCACCACACACCCCACACCCACACACACTCACAACCACACCTACACTCACATCCACATACACTACACCCTCACTCACACCTACACCCACACCCATACCCAGGTTGAGAACTATATGTGGGTTCCAGCAGGAAAACACTGGAAGTCGCCGGAACAGGGTGACAGTATTCCGACCGGAAAATTTTCGGATTTTTTCCGGTGACTTCCGGTCAAATTTCTCCCGTTTCCTGCAGAAAGTTGTACGGAAGTCACCGGATAAAATCCGAAAAGGCGACTATAATGTTTTGACTAAAAAGCGGGATATATGTAGGTTTGTAGAGAAAGACTTTCTCTATCCAACGGTATATATATTATCAAATTCTGTTGCGTACCAGTGAGACGTCCATAGGTGGCGCCACCTTCGCTGCATTTTACTATGATCACGGCGAAGATGGTGCCACCTATGGACGTCTCACTGGTGCGCAACAGAATTTGATAATATATATACCGTTGGATAGAGGAAGTCTTACTCTACAAACCTACATATATCCCGCTTTTTAGTCAAAAATTGACCTATAAGTTATAGTCGCCTTTTCCGGCCGGAATACTGCCACCCTGTTCCGGCGACTTCCGATGTTTTCCTACAGAATACGGTGAATTTGCCCGCATCCTTTCTGCAGGATCCTGTGGGATCCGGTGAGCGGAATCTTCGACCTGGACACCCGCTCCCACACGCCACTTCCTTACAAAAAAGCTTTTAAATGCTTTTTACTACATGAATCCAAATAGCTGGCTGCTCATTTCAACTTACTCACAAAGTTTACGATTAAATGTCTTTAAAGACGGTTTTCGCAAAACTCCTGATTTCCTGGTGAAATCATGTAGAGCAGTGCAGTTACTAACGAAGCTCATTTAAATGCTTTCTTCCGCTTGACTCTAAGCTGTTGGATAGAGACTTGAACTTACTTAAAAAAAGTTTAAAATGAAACGCTTTGAAGCGTCTTGAAAGAAACTATCCAAATAGAGTCTGAATTCTGTCGAAATCATCTAAAACAAGGGGCTCATATAAAAAGAACGTTTATTTGAGTTTTCTATACGACTCCATGCATTTGATCGGAGAAATCATCTCATTGACACACTTGAGAAGTCCTCTCATTTCTCGGTTTAAATCAACTGATAGTAAGTTCTTACCTTCAATAAGGCCTTTAAATCCCTTTTCCTGTTTGAATTGATGCGTTTAGATGTAAAAATCAACTTGTTGAAGAAGTCCAAAAAAGATCTGTAAACGCCTTTAAAGATCTTTGTGTACAGAAACTCTGATTTTCCTGTCAGAAACGTGAACGATCAGCTGATCAGGCGAAAAAGGCCTTTCATTGGTATTTCAATATAAGTCCATGCCGTTCGATGTAGAAATTAACAGATTGACAGAAGTAAAGAAAACCTCTCATTTCTCTGTTGAAATCATACGAAATAAAATTCTTAGCTAGAAGAAGGGCTTTGAACTCCTTTTCCTATATGAATGGATGCTTTTCGATGAAAAAGTGCACTTTTTCACGAAACTTCGAAAACATACGTTGAGACACCTTTGCAGACTTTTTTGTGAAATCTGTGATTTCCGTGTCAAAGTCTGGTTAAACAAGGTGGTCACCTAAACATTGTGTTTAGTTGCTTTTTTCTGCCTCAGTCCATGCAATTCGTTGGGAGAAACAACTCATTGCCACTTTTCAGAAATCCTGACAATTCTCTATAGAAATAATCAAAACAAAACCCAAAGTTAAAATGTCGTGTTTGAATCCCTTCTACAATAACAGTCCGTGCGTTTGCGTTACACAGTGAACTCATACACGAAATCTCGAAAAAAAGCATTGCAATGCTATAAAACACCGTTTGTGTACGAAAATCAAATTTCCGCATCAACATCCCCTACAAAAGGGAGATCACGTAAGACAGACCTTAAATTGTTCTTTTTCTATCTATTCTCATGGAGCTGGTCGAGAAAATAAACTCTTTAGCATACTTCAGAAATCCTCCAATTTGTGTCTCGAAACTATTGGAAACGAAACTCTAACCAATAATAAGCCTTTGAATCCCGTTTCTAATATGAATCTATCCCTTGGGGATGAAAAAACCAACACATTCGTGAAATTTCCAAAAGATGCCTTGACATTTTTTTAAACAGCTTTCTTTTTACAAAAAACTCTGCTTTCCACGTCAAGATCTTGTTTATCAAGGAGAGATCACCTAAAAAATACTTTCGGTCCCTTTTTGTGTATTCAAAAAGTGTGTACACTAGAATCGGTCAGTGTGTCCGTCCGTCCTTTTACACGATAACTCTTCAAACGGTAGTCCGATTGTGATGAAATTTTGCACAAAGAATTGTTTCAACAATATCTCCGTCGAGTTTAAAGATGATAATGATTCGTCAAGAAATGTCTGAGTTATCGCAAAAAATGTCATTATTTCCTATGCTTTTCTATGAGAACATTGACCTATCTCGGTTTTCGTACAAGAACTTTCTCTTATAATCAAACAAGACCTCATCTATTATATACCATTCGATAGAGAATTTCATAGGCTACAAAATGGTATATAAAACATTAAGACACAGGAAGGCTAAGTCACCTATTGCAAGGATACTTAAACGAAAATTGCTTCTGTGCTTGTCCACGCTCTGATTGGTCGAAAATTAAAGTCCCATCTTTCAATCAGAGAAGCGATACTTCGATGTTTTATCAAACTTGAACAAAGGTTTTCTGAGGTGGAAAGCTTGAATCTGAGCTCCACTTGCCCTGAAATCCTATTGGTTGAGCAGTAACCAAGAGAAATCAAGTTGTAAGAAAAACGGCTCGTCTTACGAGGGAACTACCCGAGGTGCTAAAAAGCTTTTAGGCCGAGAATCTGATGATTAGATAGGACATAGCTAGGAGTGATATGCCCTAAAGTAGTTCGTCCCCCAGTTGCTTCTGACAGGAGTTATGAATTTTTCAAGTTATAAGCAAAATGTGCGTTTTTGCCCCTAAATCTTTTTTTTTTTCAAAGAGGGGATAACGTATTAAACTGAAATTTTGGTTATTTCTATCTCGACCAATATTCTTTCTTATTTGAAAGTTTCGTGTCAAAAGAACAGATATGACAAGAAAGACAATTTTAAAAACTTTTTCCTAACTTAATAGCTTTTCATGTTTCATTATTTAATGACAAAAGCATCGTTTGTACATGTTTTTTCAGTCTATTCTCGAGTTAAGATTTACTATCTGTTAAAGAGATGTAACATTGCTTCCTTCTTTTATACCAGATCTGAAAAATATACTTTTGTAATTGGGTGTGAGTGTGAGTGTGTTTATGTGGAGGAACACCCACACCCACACCCTTATTAATGAACGCCATTCATCATCATCATCATCATCATGTCCCATAGACTTAGCGCCCGTTGGGGCCAACCATTTTTACGGGATCAGATTTTTCCACGCCTGTCGGTCTTGTGCGAGGTGGAACAGCTCTTGTCCACTGCGTTGACACCACTCTGTTATGTCATCCAGC